AATCTTTTCCATGGTCCTAATATGCCCTCAAGATCATCCATGCTAATTTTCATGCCTTGCCCAAGAATTTTGCTCAGTCAACTGCTCAGATGCTTGAAAATCAATTGTACTAGGTCAAAAGTCAACTGTGGCCCACATACAGTCAAACTTCAAGATTTTTGGTCAACATCAACATTTTGAAGTGATATTCATCATTTGATCAAAGGTTGATCATGATTCCTCAAGAAATGCTCCTAATCCATCAAAACTCAAAAGTTGCTAAATTAAGGTTTCTCAGGAAAAGTCAACCAAACTTTGACCAAGCATAACTTTCTCATACTTCATCAGAAATTTCCCATCCAAATGGGCCTAGCTTTTCGTGATTGTATCTTGTTGAAGACATGGTCCACGACCCAAATCAGCATCCATATATTATTTTCTATATTTATTTATTTTATTTTGATTTTTATTTATTAAAAGTTAAATTAAATCAAATAAATTGCAAAAAATATAAAAGATTGATTTTTGATCTGATTTTTGTAGGAATCATAATCTAATCAAGCTAGCCTAATCAGATCAAATCAAATTAAGGCAAATTGAGGAAAAAATAGCATGATTAGGATGGTTTTGGAAAGATATCATATAGCAAACAAATTAAATCCAATCTTCATGATTCAAAGAAGATTGAATATGTTTTTGTTTCCCTAATTCATCACACTACAAATAAGAACATACACAAGCCAAAAGGACGAGGATTGTAGTCGTGAGAGCTGAAGAACAAAACTCAAATTTTGGAAAAAAAGTGGTAGATCGTTTTCTCACATAGAGGGTGATTCAAAACATTCCAAAGCTTCTAAATGATTTCCGGACCTCTCCTGAAGCTAACACGATCAATTTTAAGCATTCCCAAGTCCAGAATCGTCCCATAGCCTTCACATGGTTTTCTCTTTGTTTCAAAATTGATTACAACGATTCTTGCATCATAAGCATATTCTAATGATATATTTGTGATTATTGACATATTCACTACATGCTTGGATGATTTAATTGGCGTTTTGATGCATATATTGATGATTGCCATGGCTAGGGTTTAAGAAGCCGTTTTAGGGCTTCTCTGTACAAGTAAAATTAGGCCAAGAAAAGGATACCATGATGCTCGTGGGATCAAGACGAATTGATCCATGTACTCACCTTTAATTTATCATGCGTTTTATGGATTTTTGAAGCTTGCAGGGCTATGGCTATGGAGTTCTGTCCGTAGGTAAAAGGTATTGGCCTAAGACGACGGACAGGGAAGAAGACAATGACTTGTCACCACCCCACTGGTCCATTTGAATGATCACGCGCGTTGTTTATTTTATTCAGTCTATCCACCTTTTTTTATATATTATATTTTGGCTTTATCCTATTGACAACTAAACATGGTAGCACAGATGGCCAAGGCGTGCGTTGTATGAGCGGGAGGACCTGGGTTCGATCCCAGGTCCCAGCATATTTCTTTATGTTTCTTAACATGTGATTGCAGGTTCCATGCATTACATGGCATGACGTCCATCATGCGCCCCACTAATCCAACCACTGGATCATTACCAACACAAATCCAACGCTGAAACCAAGGAAAGACCATGGTACATTCTCCAAACGTGGCTACACAGAATCAAGCGTAGGAATGGGCTCAGCATTCATGGGCTTGGCACAAATTCAGCATGCACCCCCTAGTTGCTTATACAGGCCCAATTCTTTTCCTTTTCTATTTTAATTCTTTTATTTATTTATTAATTATTTTCTTTTTTCAAATAACACCCAAAATCATGCTTTTTTTTATTTAATCAAAAAATCATAAAAACATCAAAAATCATTTTTTTTATAAAAATATTTTATTAATTAATTAGTTTAATTAAATTAAGGCAATTTAATTCTTTTTTGTATAATTAAAATCAACTAGAATTAGGGTTTAATGTTGTACATAACCTAATTTTTCTCAAAAAATAACCTAAATATTTTCTCAATTATATTTTTAGGTTTCCTAGTTTGTTCTCGCATTTAATTCGCCGCGCCCCTTTAATTCCTTTTTCTATTATTGTAACTGCTCCGAGTTTGTAATAATAATTAGGGTTTTAAATTTTTGCATCTTTATTTACAGTCAAAATAATCATGTATCTGCGAAAGCCTTGTAATAGCTAGGACTTTAATTTCTCGCATTTTAATTTCCGCGAACTATAAGCTGTTAGATGTATGTTAATAGGATTGTATGGAAAGACAAATTGTAATTAATACAGTAGAAAACCCTAAATGTGCAAAGATAAATAAACTGGAAAAAAAACAAACTTGCACATGCTCACTCCTAGGGCTTACTCCACTCCGGTTGCCTTCGGTAAACGGTCATGAAGTATAGGGAATGTTAGTGGTCGTCCTCTAGTCCCAAAAGATCTAAAATGACCCATTCGGATGTTGCCTCGGAAAAAGATCTTTAAGGCTTTAGGATGATTACTAAAATTTCCTAACATTGCTTTTGTGATCGTACTTGTCTCTTAGAACGTCCCTTAAAACTCCAACGACGGTGCTACCTATTCCTTAATAATATGATAGCGATGTCTAAAGGAAAACGAACAGACTTTTTCGAGTAGGTAGATTAGTTCCTAGGTACTTGCTCAAACAAAATTTTTCACACAAACACTTTTCAAAAACAGTTTTCGAAACAACTTCGTCACACTCTTGAGGACAGAAACAAGGGTTATCACGAAGTAAAACAAAACTTTTTCTAAACAAGCACACACAAGCAATTTGAAAAATGAGCAAGTACCTAAGAGCCCATGGAAAACCATGGATAGAAAGGGTGCTAATACCTTCCCTTTCTATAATCTACACCCCGTACTCAGAAACATCTCGAAAAAGGTTTTTTCTGTTCTTTTTCCTTTTCCTTTGTTGGATGAAATAAAAGTCGATGGCGACTCTTGCTTATCGCAATATTTGTGAATATAAAACGCAAACCAGTATTAAGAGTCGGTTCTGCCACCGTATCACAACTACCATTATCGTCACCATGATAATCTGGGCTCTGAGACTTCAATTTCTAATTTAACATGTAGTATAAAAAATGTAGTTGCACGTGCTGCAGTAGACAAAGGTTGTGGTTTCCATGAAACCTATTCCTATAACAAAAAAAATCTAAAAACCAATTAATGTAGGGAAAATAAAGTTGTGCTCACTTAGGCCCTACCCCAATACCTACGTATCATTTTTGAGGAATCAGAGTTACCATAGTTCTGCTCATATGTTTTGTTTGTTTTGTGTTTTTTATGAACAATGTTAATTTCGCTTTCTACTGTAGCTCGACCTTTGGAGACTTACGCATTGGCACGAAAGTAAATCAATAATGTCCTTACCTGAAAAGGGTTTTAGAGAAAAGGTGCTTGGGCGCACAAAAAGGTTTAAGTTAGTTTGTATTTTGTTACCTTGAAAAATGGTTTAAGTGTTATTAGAGTGTTTTTGATTTTCTAAGAAAAAGGAAGTTTTAGTTTTAAATGCAAGGATGCAAAAAGGGGAAGAAAATAGTCTACGGGGGGCTAGCCTATTTCTAAACCTAATGTTATCATACAATGGTAGCCCTATGTCAAAGATAAAAAGGAAATCTTTACCTAATGTTAGCATGTATGATTTTCAACCTAAGGTCTAACTTGCATCTGAAAGGAACAAGCACATCCTAAGGGAACATGGTGTAGAAAGCGAGTAAGCAAACAAGCTCGAAAGAGCACACACATAAAATATTAAGGAAAAGAAACGAAATGCTTTAGTCAAGGGGAGCGTATCGCCCCAGACAAATAAGTGAGAGTGAGATGAAAAAACAAAAACGTGATGTCCAAAGCGAATGAACACCTAACCAAGATATAGGATATCGAGGTAGGTGACAAAAGACAATATGAATGATTACGGAGTATCAGCATCGGCCAATGTGAACTCCTGACAAAGTGTGAGGGTTCGATTGCAAAACCCTTCCCCACTTGACGGACTCGATACACAAGAGCAGGCATAACTTCGAAGCGTCATGGTGCGTCATGAGCTAAGGATGACACAGACGAAATTGTGGGGGTTGATTGCAAACCCTCCCTGCTAACCTCTTTTTGAGGACTTATCATCTATACATATGTGGGCACAGATTTGAACATATGTGCGGAATACCTACTTCAAAGGTAGGGTTTTAAACAACCACAAATAGAAAACAGAAAGCACACAATGCGGAATTTCCCTAAACGGGTCTTTAAATAAATCAGAGGTATTCCTAACATGATCAGCAACGGAGATCCCCGTCATACATCTCTACCCTACTTCTCATGGCATCAGAAAGCAGTAAAGTCCTATTTCTCATGATCTCTAGAAAAACGTCAAAGTGCGGAGGGAATATAGGAGAGAAGTCACGATTATACCTAACAGAGAAGGTTCGTTGCCTCTTCAAAACCATGCAAGCAATAAGAAAACTCTACAGAAGCTGCTTCGCATAAGTGATCAAACGAATTAATCTCCAAGCATTGCACATTGCAAAAGTTGCATCAACATTTTATCACAAAATCTTAGTAAAAAATGACAACGAAAATGATTATCAAATACAAAAATAATAGAAATCTCTAATGAAAATTCTAAAGAGAGCTTCCAAAGAATTCTAAAATGTTCTAATATTTTTGTATCATTTTTATTACAATTAAGAGAGAAAAATAAAATAGAAGAAAAACTAAAATAAAAAGGAAGTTAGAAAATTTAGGGGGTGTAAGTCTTGAAAGAGTGGTGGATCAACAACTAACACCAAGGCCCAAGCATGAAGGTCCAGAAGGCTTTTTTTGCTACTAGCTTCAGACTCCAAAAATTCATGTTAATGGACCTAAGGGATGCAATTTGGTCCATTAAACACTCCTATGTGTTCCACAACAAATTCTTATGGGCCTAATGCACAAGGGTGGTTCGACCCATGTTAACTAATACCACCAATCTTTTCAACATTATTTAGCATAAATGTTTGTTGATTTATAATGAAATTAAAGAAAAGAATACAAATAAAAATAATTGAGAGAAGAAAGTGGTGTCGTTGTTGTTTAGTGTTTAAGTTTGTGGCTTTTCAGATCCCTCGAACAAATTTCGTTCCCTCTTTCTCTTCCGCGAGCGGCGCTGTAAACCTCCACTCAATATTCTTCCCCGATGATCTGCACCTCCGTGCTCAACTCTCCATGTCTCTTAGTCTCGTTTTCAGTCTATGTTTAGATGTGTTGCTCCAATTTGTTTCACCAACAACGTCTCCATCCAATTTGACTTCTTCCTTCTTCAAACCGCAGCTTGAATTCATACTCATCTTCTTCGTTTATGGAAAACAAACTCGTATAGTAAGAGACAATGAAAAAAGGTGACGAACACGAAAAACTTACGTTCTCGATGCTTCCTCAAGGCTATAGAGAAAACGACAAATTTAGATACAAATCTAATAAGTCTTCTTGTCTTGCGCTCAATTTTTATTTCTCCTTGCTCTGTTCACCATTTCCTTTCTTCTTGCTCTGTTCACGTTCTTGTTGTTGCATGCGTGAAGCGAAGTGTAGGATTAAAGTTATTATGTAGCGACTCAGATGAATCAGTGATGAATTTGTTGCATTCTACATTCTTGTTGATGAAGTAGAGAAGATTACAGTCATTAAGATCTTGTTCATTGAAGATGCAATGATGAATTCGTTGATGATGAAAGGTTGAAGATGAGGATTTGGTTCAGAGAGTTTGAAGATTTGCATAATGATGATGAAGGTGTCGAGAGAGAGAAAGCAAGAGGAAATGATGATGATGATGATGACAATGATGGATATTGATCTTTGAGAAAGATGAAGACTGGAGAATGGAAGCATAGATCTAGAGAGAGATTTCAGAGTTTGTTGGTGAGTTTTTCTGAATTTCTGTTATGAATAATCTTATATCTCCTCCTCTTTCTATTTTCTGTTATATCCTATTGATAAGTTTGTTAGGAAGTTTGTTAACTATTAGGAGTTGGCAGAATCAGTTAGGAGGTTGAAGTTGTTAGTTACAGGTTTGGGTGAGTTTCTGTTATAGGTAGTTGGCGAACAGTTAGTGATAGCTATTAAAATAGGTTAGGGAATGTTTAGAGTTTGTTTTGTTGCAGTTAGTTGTTAGTCAGTTAGAAGTTAGTTTAGACTGTTATTTGGATGGAATTCAGTGACCAGGGTTAGTTATGGGCTTGTGTAATTTCTATTATAGGATAGTTAGAAGACTTGGGATTTGATTAGGGAGCTTTGAAATTTTGTCATGATGAACTAGCCATTTCTGTTAGGAGGTTATCAGTTGATGTTAAAGAATTGTTATGCTCAGTTTTTGTCAATCGATGTTGAGTTGTTAAACAGTTTCTGATTTATTCCTTATCTTTGCAATACTTTCTGCTGTGAATAAGCTCTTAAATGATTCTCTGTACTGATTTTCCTTTGTGAACAAATGCAGGGTAGGTTATATACCAATGTAAGGCTGTTTCAATTGTTGTGTTTCTTTCGGTTTATTCTGGTTTAATGGTAGTATGAACTACTTTGAAGTATTTTTCCTATTTTCTGCTGTAGAAACACCTTATGCAGGGTTGTAACTTGAACATGCTTTATTATTTTTGGTTTGTGAACTGATTTAAATTGGATAGTTTTCTTGTTAATTGATATGGTTTTGGCTTATTACTTTGGTGCAGGTTTGGAGCAAGGTAGAACATGTCTACTTGGTGGTTATTTCAAGGATTGGAAATGGTTTTGAGCACGGTGTTGCATACAGATTAAAGCGCACGGAGCTTAGAGCTTGAGACAGATTGAAGAGACTTGGCAATAAGGATGAAAGTCGTGAACACATAGGCCTAGAAATTTACTTTTCTGAGTGACTTTTATGTATGGATTAAAATGATGTTAATGGAAAAATGGAATGCGGAATGTTACTTGGATTTTTGTAATCTTTTCTCTTGATGTGATGTATTGGATACTTGGATTTAATGGTTTAAAATGCATATGTAACTTTGAAAATTTAATGGTAATGACCTCTTCAAATATTCTAAAGCATTTCTTTTCTTTCAAAACTGAATTTGAGTTTCTTTCCATTGCTTTTAATTTTGAAGTTCTTGAAAGGGGACTTTGATTGGAGTTTGAATGCCTTTGTCCATCTTTTTCCAAGTAATGACGTATCTTGTATTTTGGCTCCATTCTTAATGATTTGAATTGAATCTTCACTCGAAATGCTCTTATGAAATTCATTGCTTCCAAACACATAACCATGATTTGAATTGAATCTTCACTCGAAATGCTCTTATGAAATTCATTGCTTCCAAACACATAACCATGGCCCAGTATTAATGAAAGAATAATCATGACTTAGTCCATAAAAAGTCAACCTTTTATGGTTGACTTTGTTGACCAAGAATCAACTCTTATGTGAACATCTTCAAATCCTCTGTTTTAATCTTATCACGTGGAACATGTCATAAGATAGATCAAGACCTCAAGCGTGACTTAGGTCAAAACTCTTACTCTTGTCTATGTCTTTGTGCTCCATATATGCTCCTTGAAACCATGATGAACTAAATCAATGTTTTAACTTGTAGCCTAAGCCATTGTTCATAGTATCTTTCCCTTCAAGCAACACCGCTAAAATAGAAGAAATGTCTTGAATCCATAATGAACCAAACCCAAATCCAAGGGAAAATCCTATCTTGCCATGTACATCTCAAATCTTGTATAATAACTTGTGACTCAAGCCACGAATAAGATCCTTTGAATGAGGATCTTCACTAATGAGAAAAACTCCACAAAGAAATCTTCTTGATTAGTTCATGAATAGGGAAATAAACCCTAATTTGAATGATGTTTATAAGCATAGAAGATAACCCTCAAGAACTCTCAGGACCAAACTCAAAGTCTACTGAATAATGTCCTATAGTTTAATGAAAGAAGAGGTCTTCAATTATCACAAACTGTAATTCCACAAACCAAGATTGATGAAAGAACTAGTTAAAATAAGTTTGTGTGAAGATAAGAGCCTCACAGCAAACGAAAACCTTAACTTCAAGATCCTTGATTCCATGCCAAGTTTATTGATGATGTATGATATTGTTAAATGACCTAATAGAAGGTATGCAGATGAAATGAGAAGTGCAAGACGCATAAGTCAGATAAAAGTAAGAGGGTAGGACAAATTTGAGGTATTACAATTACCAACAAAAAATATGGGTGTGCCAACTCAACAGCATTTAATATCAAAATAATATAAAGTGTTTAATAGTTGATAAGACAAATTTACTCATACAATTAGTGAAATTAAAGCTTTTAATCAAAAGGATTGTAGTGTCATTACCAGGTACGTTGAAGTTTATATATTTGTAAGAGAAGTTACTACTAATTTTATAGAACCAGGTCTGCTCTTCTAATTAAGGATATTGTAGTACATGTTGGTGAATTTAATGTTACCATTAATGTCTCTATCTTTTGCACCTAACTTAGCTATGGGATATATGTAATCTAAACAATACTTCGTTCGTTTCAAAATCACTTTCGTTTAAGATTTTTGCACACAAACTAAGAAATGCAATGATGTTGTCATAAAATATTACACTTTTATAAAATTAACCCTATTAATATATTGGAAGTAGTGTAGAGAGAAAAAAGTAAAGGAAATAATTGGAAAAATAGTAATCATTACTACATTGAAAAGTGAAAATGACGGTCATTTTAAAACAAAATTTATTTGTTAAAATGACAGTCATTTTAAAACAGAGGGAGTAGACTTCAGCGTCATATACGTTATCAACAAACAATTCTATATTTTCTCTCATATTCATGAATACATAATAATAATTGTGAAATGTTGTGAAATTAATATTATTAAGCTTAGCTCTATTTGCATTGATATGGTGTTTAAATACAACATGACAGCTAGTATTGCAAATAACTGAATTAATAACATCCAACTACCCTAACAACCAATTACTCTAACTGCCAAAGAAGTTATTTGATACAAGGGTTATGTGACTCAATACCCCCTTAAGCAGGAGTGTAGTTAACTGAGATTGCCAGTTTGGAAAGGAAGAGATATAACAGATGAGGATCAATGGGATTAGTCAAAATATCTACAAGTTGTGCAGAGCTCGGGATAGGTAGTAGTTAGAAGAGTTTTGCATTGAGTTTTTCACGTACGACATGACAATAAATTTTGATGTGTTTTGTACTTTCATGAAAGGTGGAATTGGCTGCAATATGACATGCAAATTGGTTAACACAATACAAAATTGCATGAGAGATGAAGTCGACATTGAAGTCACGTAATAAGTATGTTAACCATTGTAATTCACAGACTGTTGATGCAAAAACCTAATATTCAACTTCTAAGGATGATCTAGAAACCATTAGCTTATTATTGGATTTCCATGAGATGAGCGAATCACCTATAAAGATGCAGAACCCTATAATAGAGCGTCTCGTATCACTACATGATGCTCAATCAGAGTTGCTGAAAGCTCAGAGTTAAAGTGTTGAGTTTGAAGGGGAAAAAATTATGAAGGAGACTGCTTGATATGCTTAAGAACCCTATAGGAAGCTAATGTTGCATTGAGAAGCTCATAGATATATTAAACGAATACTGAGTATTCAATAAAATGTAGCATCAGTGGGAAGTGAATCATCAACAACTGTATACTTTTGAGATTTTGTCATGGGAGTGGGAGAAGGTTTTGCAGCAGGAAAACTTGTGTCATGTAGCAATTTGAGCACATATTTTCATTGACATATGGATATTGCAAGAGGATAACTCATTACCTCAAATCCTAGAATATATTGTATTTTTGCAAGATCCTTGGTTTTCAAATTGGTGTCAATGATAGTTTTGAGGTTTTGAATTTCATTAGTCATTTCCAGAGATTATCAAGTCATCAAAATAAACTAAAATGATGATGAACTTATAGCCATGTAATATGGTGAAGAGATAATGGTCCGAGGCTGATTGCTTGTAATGTAGGGAAAGTAACAAAGAAGAAAGTTTTGAGAACTATTGTCTATTGGACTTTTTAAATCTATATAGGGACTTTTGAAGCTTGCAAACATGGTTAGTATTTAATGGAATTATAAGCCTGGAGGTGGGGTCATGTAAATTTCTTCATCAAGATCTCTATGGAGTAATGGGTTGTTAACATCTATTTGAATAAGGTGCCAATTCTGAGAGGTAGCAATGGCTAAAAGAAGCTTGGTGTTACAGCGGTAAAGCGACATGCAAAAAATAAGTTATTAATTTACCGGGTGATATTTAGGTTATATCGTATCATGTCCATAAAGATTGGTGTATTGAAATACCGTTCGACAAATCTCTCGTTAATGAGTTTGGGGATAAATGGGTTACA